AGAAAGTGAGAAATCTGAGAAAGAAAATTATCTTTTAGAAATGGGTTCAGCTAACTTTTTCTGTAAAGGTCCAGGCAGTAAATATAGCAGGACCCTGCACAAATAATGCCCCCTTTTTATTACAAAGTCTTTTATTACAAAATCACAAGCATATAATTCTGAAACATAACAATATCAAACTCAAGCACACCATATGACATTTTAGGTGAAATGTTCAAATAAAAACTATATTACACCCATATTATTACCCTACCAACCACAGTCAAGCAGGCCTTACTCCTGCCAGACCCTGTATTTTAGGCTTTGCTGGCCATATGGGCTCTGCTATAACTGTACCTATGTAGCCACAGTACTCTATAACGGGGGTGCGCGGTTGTGTCCCAGTAAAACTTTATTTACAAAACAGGCCACATTTGGCCTGCAGGGTATTAGGTGACACCTAAAAATACCCTAGCCAGTCCCCGTGGGCCTGTGTTTTGTGCTTCTCTGGCGTGAGGCTCGTACCTCCCCACACTGTCCTCTAGAAATGTATCCTGTTTACCCGTCTGCAACCCCTATGGCTTCTAGGGCAGAGACTTTGTGTCCCTGGTGGCAGCACAGAACAGGTTTCGATACATATTTGAGGAGGAAGTGGGCCTGTGGTGAAGGTAGAGACTATGTTTATAGCAGACAAACCTCACTGAGCATTTCCAGCCTCTTGGCAAAGAGCTACAGGTTCACAGAGGAAAAGAGACTTTTGTTGCTGACAAGCATCACCAGAAGACAGCAGTCCGGCTTACAATTTCATTCCTTGTTACAATGCACACCCATGGCTAAGTTCTGACGTCAGAGCTAGAGCCCAGAAAGCAGCACCATTGGAGCCACCTGCAGACAGATTGCTTCCCCGCCGCCCTCTCCGCCCCCTAGGGAGCCCTTCCCGTCACAAACCCATCGCCATTCACTTCAGCCTCCTCGATGAGGAGAAACACTGTGGTTAGCCAGGGATATAAAAATTCTTTGTTATTGGAAAATCTAAGTGTCTCTCTAGGCCTGTGCAGCACCATTAGGTGACGTCAATGACTCAAGGTATCTGAGCTCTGCGTTTCCACTATTCTCAGAACAGCAGCTAATTCATGGCAGTAATGACGTTTCTATTTAGAGCCTCAGAAAAGACGAGGTGGGCCCTCGGTTCCGCATCCCTCAGTCCTGTGCTGTGGGCTTGGCTGCTCTTCTGAGAAGCAGGGAAAGTTTACAGGGGGCAGGAGGACAGGACCTGGACATTGAATTCCATTCAAGCTAACCAATAGTTTGAAGGCCTACTGTGTGCCAGGCAGCACATGCAAACACAGACGAGCACATGCTAGTGACCCCCCTGGAGAGGAGAGGGCAGTTAGGCATGCAAATAGCCATGATAATGGTAAAGAAGGTTCTTTGGGGACTGGAGGAGGGAGATGGGACTTGAAGCTTCTTGGGCTAGGCCATGAAGACCTGGCAGAATTTGGGCACATGGAGTTGCAGGGAGACTGGTGACAGAGAGATCGGGGGTCCCATTCATTAAGTGAGAAAGAGAAGAAGGGGTAGGAACAAGGCTAGGTCAGTGGGGGGAGGCTGTGCTTGGTTTGGACATAAAATGTACTTGGCTGGTTTCTAGCATGAATGCTCAGCACAGCCCATACAGGTTGGTTTGTGCTGCTTGGGTTCAGTGGTTGCTCTGTGACCAGGCACCAGGATTTCCCGTACCTCTCCCCTTCCTGTGTCAACTCCCAGGTGATCTCATTCTCCCTCCTGGGCTGTCTAAGCTTTGTTGTTAAAAGGACTTTTTTTCCCTATGAAAGTCAATTTCCTTCTTTTGCCATTGGTCTTCCAAGGACTTGCCTCTCTGAGTGACTTGGTGGTATTTACTAAAAATTTCCTAATTCCAGACAAAATTCTTAGCGCAAAAGAAGGAATTTCATATTGAACTAAATCCTATGAAAAAGCATATGATTGCTTTGGCTATTCTAGAATATTTTGCTAGAATAGCTAAATGAATCCTGAGAAAGAAGAATAAAGCTGGAGGCACACACTTCCTGATTTTAAGCTATATTTCAAAACTATAGAATCAAAACAGTATGGTATTAGCATAAAAACATACACAGAGCTCCATGGAACTGAATAGAGAGCCCATAAGTAAATCCACATAGAGATGATCAATTAATTTATGACACAGGAGCCAAGAATATTCATGGAGAAAAACAGTCTTTCCAATATATCGTGGTGGGAAAACTGGCCCCCAATCCTAACACCATATACAAAAATCAACTCAGAATGCATTAAAGACTTGAACATAAGATCTGAAACCACAGAAGACAAAAACGTAGCAAAGAAACCCCTTTACACTGGACTTGGTGATGACTTTTTGGATGTCACACCCAAAGCAAAGACAACAGAAGCAAAAATGAACACGTGGGACTGCATCAGACACAACCGCTTCCCACGGCAAAGCAGACTGCTGACAGAATGAAGGGAAGCCTACCACATGAGAAAAAATATTTGCAAATCATATACCCAGTAAAGGGTTTATAGCCAAAATGTATGAAAGACGCACATGACTCAACAGCAAAACAAACAATCCAATGAAACCCAAGGGGCAGAGGATCTGCACACAGGTGACCCCTGAACAATGGAGGGGTTAGGAGTGCCACCACACACACAGTAAAAAAGTTCCTGTATAAATTAAGTTGGCCCCCACATATGTGGATTCCCACCCACGTGTGGAAAAAATTAAACACTTTTCCTCAGAAGACATACAAGTGGCCAACACATATGAAGAGGGGCTCAACATCACTGATCTTCAGGAAAATTGCAAATGAAAACTATAGGATATTAATTCATGCTGTTAGGATGGCTACTATCAAACAGACATGAGATAAGTTTTGGCAAAAATGTGGAGAAAAGGTAACCCTTGTGCACTGTTGGTAAGAACGTATATTGGCACAGCTACTGTGGAAATAATAGGGAGGTTCCTCAAAAAAAGTTAAGAATAGAACTACAATATGATCCAGCAATTCCACTTTGGGGTAATTATCCAAAGGACATGATAAATGTCCATTGCTGCATTACTTACAATACCAAAGACATGGAAGTAACCCAAGTGTCCATCAACAGATGAATAAAGAAATGAGGTATTTAGCCCTGGCTGGTGTAGCTCAGTAGCTTGAACATGGGCTGTGAAGCAAAGGGTCACTGGTTTGATTCCCAGTCAGGGCACATGCCTGGGATGCAGGCCAGATCCCCGGTGGGGGCCATGTGAGAGGCAACCACACATTGATGTTTCTCTCTATCTTTCTCCCTCCCTTCCCCTCTCTCTAAAAATAAATAAAATCCTTAAGAAATGAGGTATTTATGAGTGTATACACATACACACAGCCCCCAGTAAGTCCTTACTTAACATTGCTGATAGGTTCTGCAACCTATGCACACGTGGTTAAGTGAAACTACATATGACGAAACCATTTTTACAATAGGCTAATTGATATAAACAGTAATTAAGATCCTATGGTATCTCATATCAATGAAGCAACATTATAATGAAGCAACATTGAACAAACGAGATTATTCAAGGACCCATGCAAATAATCAAATATTATTTTGCCATAACAAAGAAGGAAATCTTGCTATTTGCAACAACATGGATGGACCTTAGTCAAAATGAAACGAGTCAGAGAAAAGACAAATACCATATGATATACTTATATGTGGAATCTAAAAAAGTAAAAATTAAAAAAAATCAAAGGTGAACTCATAGATACAGACAATAGATTGGTGGTTTCCAGAGGTTAAGGGTGGTCAAATGGGTGAAGGGGGTCAAAGGTATAGTATGAACTTCCACCTGCAGGGTAAGTACGTCCCGGGGTTGTGATGTGCAGCACGGTGACACAGTTAACAATACAATACTATAATATACACTTGAAAGTTGCTAAGAATAGACATTAGAAGTTCTCATCACAACAAGGACATCTGTAACCCTGTGTGGTGACGAATGGGATCATTCCACAGTCTACGCAGATGGACTTAAGTCCACACTTCGATACCTCAGCGGACTTAAACTCTGACTGGAAGCCCCGCGCAGGCTCCTGCACTCAGTTCCATTTCCCTTTGAGGTGGGAGCCCCCTTCTCATGGGAGGTCGGAGGCATTGGAGCTCAGGCATCTTTGGGTCCTGTCACTCCTCCACTTTATTTCTTTGCCTGGCCAGGCTTCCCCTTCTAACCCCACACTTGACAAGTCTCCAACATGCTCCCATCTTTCACATCCTTTAGATACACTGCCTCTCCTTTCCAAGTCCTCATCTAAGGCAAAGGCCATGTTTTATGTTGTCAAAAACAGGTAATTAATGATTGTTTGTTCAGTACTTCTCAATCAACAAACTTTTAAGCATGAAGTAAAAAATACACATAATCCATCATTAAAAGTATAAGTCAAAAAGAAAAAAATACCAACGCTGTTCTCTACAATAAAACTTTCTAAAAGGAAGGCTCTTAAATATAGAAACTGATTAAAATTCTTTTATTGCAGAAGACAATGCTAAAATGTATTGTTCTGCATGATGTAACGGTAAAAAAAATCACAGTACCAATTCAGGGTGATTCCTGTTTTTGATATGAATTTATAGGGGTGAAATATTCCAATGCATATATACTTTTTATTGGCTTATGAAATTAAGATAGAAAAACAGAACAGTTCTTATTTGAAGGAGGAATTTTATGCTTTCAAAAAATATTAGTCTCGAGTTGCACAGCCACAAGCTAAATCATAAGTGATATGCATGCCTAAGACGGCAGCACAGGCTTGCAGGGGACTTTGTGTGTGTGTGTGTGTGTTTTGTTTTTTTTTACTGTTTGCCAGAGGAGTCGAATTTTGCCATAAGCCTTCCAAACTCGCAACTACAGAAGACATGGAGAAAGACAAGCAGAGAATAGTGGCGAGGACATAACACGTGGTCAGGCTGACAAAGCAAACGAAGCAAGCTGGATACTGTACCTGCTTATTATTGTCAGTGGTACAACACAGTTTCTTGAGGGAGACAAAATGCCTAATTTTCCTAATAACATAAATAATTAGTTATTAGTGAGTCAAATACAAGATGATTCAACAAATCAGCAAGTGAAAACATCAACAGAAACTTTTTAAAGCAAAACTTGAAGGTCTATTCTAAGGCAGATTTAAAATCCGAACAAAACCCCATCTACAGAAAATGCATTTTCCCACACAGCCCACACATGCCTTCAGAAGCTGGGTTTCCCTCTGAGTCGCCACTGGCTCAGGAACATTGTCCTGATGGGCATTTCATTTTGTAACTCACTCCCGAGGCTTGGCTCCTCGCTATCTTCAGTGATGGGATGAAATGCTACTCCAGAAAAAATTGGCTCTAATTCTGCTGACGCTAATAACTTTATAGCTTATATAGAAAGCAAAAGACTCATTTGGGCAATGATCAAATTTCAAGGCTATTTTTATATTTAATTTTCGATATTATGTCACAGCATGATCATCATGATGGTGGCGTTTTTTAGGCAGAGAAAAATCCTCTTATTTCAAGGTCATGGGCAGAATCCCAAAACAGCCTGCAGCCTTGCTCATTACCATGAAGGAGACCAGGAAAAGACTACAGGTGTCTCCACGCTGCACAAAATTCAGCTTGAGGTAGATTTTCTAGTGAGAGCGAAGCCAGGAATTCCAGTGGGCTGTCTTAGATTTTATAGTAATGAGTCTCCTCTCTCCCTGTTTCTGTCTTTGACTCTGTCTCTCTCTGGTTCAGTTTTCTCTGGAGACCTCCGAGGAGAGCAAAGAATGTACTGGTTATCCTGTAATGAACTTCACTGAACAGCAAGAGGTGAAAACTCCCTACTTTTAATAAGATTTTCTTCTGGTAGCTCACTGCCTACAATTGGGGAAAAAAATAACACTGTGTCTGGACAAAAGAACTTCTGTTTTATCTGTAAAATCAGAAAGATCAGAAAAATTCATGCTGACAGAAATTACCAGCAACAGCACGTCTCCTCTGCCCAGGTCACCTAATAATTCTGGTCACACACACACACAACTCGAATCTCCGCTAAAACTTTCAGAGAGGCTGGTGTGGGGATGAGGATAACAACATGGCAGCCACAGTGGTCTGGGGCACTGACTGCCCGGGAGTGGCCATACAGGGGACCTTGGGCTCAGGAGAAGGGCCTGGTACCTCTCTCCGCACTCAGGAGGAGGGTTAGAGACCGCCAGTGCCCCCGCCCCGCCACCCCCCACACTGAGGCAGAATGACAGGGAACATGAGACAATGATCTCTAAACTGAGGGGGAACAATTTTGAAACTGGCCAAGCAAGCAGGCTCTGAGGGGGAACAGCCTGTGGACACTTGGCTGACTTCATGGAACGTCTTGTTTTCTAACCACACAATCTGCAGGGCACGCGGGCAGCCAGAGAGTCACAGGCTTGGCTCTCCTCTCTGGCTATTGGCACAATGACCGCCCCCTTTTCTTTTTCCAAAACTTCATGCGATGGCACACAGCCCTTACAAGCCTGTACTGTGAGGCTGGTGTTGACCTTCTGACTGGTTTACAAAGGGTCCTCAGTGACGGACTGCCAGGGGATCCTGGTTGGCTGTGTAAACCTTCTCACAAAATTAAACTGGGAGAAGGAAAAGGAGTCACATATTTGCCTTATCTCTCCCAAATAAAAAGGCTTCTCTGGGAATCTGAGATGAAATGGAATCAGGCCACCTTAGCTTTGGGTCAGACATACCTTTCTCTACGTAACCATGAACCCCTGGCTTCCCGCCGCCCGGAGAAAGCACAGAGCCAGTGCCTCAAGGAGGGAGGGTCGGTTCCCCCTTGTTTTGCTGTTGACATGAAGGGGGCTGGCCTAGAACCTGAGCTCCTTCAGAGGGTAGTGGGCATAGTGGAACCACAGATGATCAGGTGGGGCTGGGCAGTTGGGGTGAAGCTTCGTAAAGCCCATAGCAGGAGAAGACAGAGAGAAGAAAAGCCATGTCTGCTGGTCACATGGAAGTGTCCTTGGTATAGGCTATGGGCAGCCCAAGCCTACCATATGTGCAGGTCTAACGCTTACACTGACATTTCAGTAAGCCCACATGGGCCCTTCAACTAAAAGAGTTCACGAGTTTGCTCTCACCCTCCTTGGCCAATCACGGGGGTGATCTTCACGTGCTGTTGGATGCTGTCCCCGGACTTCCGTCTGGCATAGTAAACCCCTTGCCATTCCTACACGGACAAAGAGAGCTCTTAACATCCGCCGTCAAGGTCAACACCTGCTCCTACAGTGGGTCTCCCCAAGTTGAGCAATAAAATCCCACATGCTTTCATTACATTCACTAAACACGATTCTATTGTTGCTTCCACTGAGAAGCGGTCTCTGTAAGGCTCATGGTCACAAGGCATGAACACAATTAGACAGACACGTCCACTACCAGGCTGCGCCTCCTGGGGCCCAGGACACCTGACAAGTGGGAAGAGTCCCTGCTCTCACCCCTACGACTATAGTGGCACCAGCTCAAAGGATTTTTCTGAGATCTTTTCCCAAAATCTTCACAACAGTCTGAGTTTGACATTATCATTCTTAATTTACAAATGGGTAAACTGAGGCTCAGAGATTCTAACTAATGTGCCCATATTGGGAAGCAGAGAATGTGGTTTAGAATTCTCACCTTTTAATGCTCCTTGAAGCCCATCACCCTTCTACTATCCTATTCGGCCTCCAGACAAGACTTCTCTAGATCGGTCTGGCTGTTGACCCTGTCCGTGCAACAGGCCAAGGGGAGTGTGAAGGGTCCTGCTGTCTCTGGACCTTGGGGAAGTGGCTGGGATGAAGACCCTGGTGACTTCAAGGGGGACCTACCGCACCTCTGCAGTTTCTGGGAGGGAGCAGTTAAACCAGAGCCTGTGCCTTTTCTCTGCGGCCTTTCCTACTCCTCCCACACAATATGGCTAACTGGGATGAGGAGCGGGGTCCCCAGCTGTGGGGCTGTGTTCTCAGGGTGGGAAACAGGTGTGTGGCAATGTTCTCGGGGCTCCCAGGTGTGCAGCAGTGATCTCGGGTCGGGGGGCCCCCAGCTGTGTGGCAGTGTCCTCATGGCAGTTTTTTTGGAGTACTTGAAAATATTCTGTTTTCAGCCTCACTGCCCCAATTTTTTAAAATTAATTTTGGCCATCACATATAAACCAAACTTATTTTATTCCTGTGCACCGGCCCCCATTAAATGAAGATGATGCTATCTAACTACTTTACATCAGAGAAAGCAAGATGAAAGAAACAGCATGGGAGCAAGCACTCTGAATGCTTAATAGAAAACATGCAGGCAGCCCCTGCTGCAGGGGCACCGCTGCTCTGGAGGGGGCGGGGCCGGAGGGAAGGTCCCTACTGCACTGGACCTCCTGGGACCACCTCCTGGCTGCCTTCATCTCCTGGGACTGAGAGCGAGCCCCTGACAATGCGGAGCAGCAGGGAGATGTGAGCTATCCATCCCTGCTGAGCTGTGGTGAGAAGAGCAACAGGAAAACTAGGCCTCCATGTGAACACTGACATCAAATGCTTCTATTTCCCCAAACACTGGATAAGCTAAGGCACACACAACAACTCCATGGGCGGGACTCTGCTCGGAGATACGGATGATATTCCAGCGGTGACAGGTGGGGTGAAATTTCCTTAAACAAGATCACCAGATTCTCTATCATCACAATAAGCACCAGATTTGCTTGGCATACAAAAATCACTCGCTTCGCAAATACAAAAAAGTTGTATTTAATTATAACATTATTAAAGAAGCCAATCTTAAAGACGTGACGTGGAAACCCACAGGAGAGAGGACGCATCGGGGAGGGCGCGTGGGTCTGTTCGGCTGGCCTCACCCACCTTGCCCTTCTTGATGCACGTGTTGATGGTGTCGAGGAGGTCTGCCCGGTTCTTGTCGCTCTTGGGCAGCTCCGCGAGTTCTTTCCCCAGGAGCTCGCCCTTGTGGTAGCCCATCATCCTTTCGAAGGCTGGGTTGACATACTATGAACAGGAAGGGGTTACAGGTCAGTTCAGGGGAGCTGTATACTCCGGAGGAGTACTTGCTGGGACACAGAGGGGTGTGCTGGAATAGCCCACCCAGGACCGCCTCCAACTCCGTAGCACAAAGGTCCTTTTAATTTCCCCATCACGTATAACATCCTCTGTTCAACTTCTTCCTTGCTCTTGTTTTAGCTTCAGAGGGCTGGTAGGTTCTTACAGGGGCCCCCAAGAAAAAAACCTGCTATCAGCAGACTCTCCCCTTCCAGGTGCGCACTGCTCTCGGCCCATTTGCTCCTGCTCATGGTAAAGGCCAGGAGGGGATTAACACTTGTGACAGCATTGCCGTACCAGCTCTCACAGAGGCACAGGGTTTCTAACCACCAGGTGCCCCCTGTGGAATGGAGGACTCTGGTCCGTGTGAAAGGTGCCATCTGTCAGAATCCAAGTGAGGAAGGTGAACAGAGAGCAGGGCGCCCCCTCTTCTCATTGCTGGGGTCACCAGCAGGCTGCCCGCTGTGAAGGAGGGAGGGGCAAAGCAAAGGTGTTTCAGAAAGAGAACGGACTGTTCAAGCCTGGGAACAGGCGGGGGAGATGGAGACGTGTGCTTGGTCTGCAGCAGAAATGTGCCTGGTTTCTCTGTGGTCTGGGATGCTGACCCATGGCCAGGTGGGCCAGCGACAGGCAGCAATATGAGGACACTTTCAGATCCATTTCAAAGAACAGTTGGAAGAACATTCCATACATACAGGATACCAGGTGGGAAGGCTTTGGAGTCAGAAAAATATGGCTACATATTTTGGTTTCAATACTTTTCACTGGGGCTTTCCTGGAATAAGTTGCTTGCCCTCTGCCTTCCCGTCCCTATTACGGCACATTTACGTCTCTTTCACAGGGCCACTGAATGGAAAAGGGACAACCTCATGAGCACGACGATGACAGGGCCTGGGCATGGGGGGCTCTGCCCCTGTAGGTCTGGCGTGAGAGCCGGGGGTGTCTGTGTGTGCACTGGGGCGGGGCTGCAGCACTACAAATGCGGGGTTCTGTCTGTCAGGGGTCCGCTGGGTTGGACACTGACTGGTCTCTATGGATGAGAGTAAGTGTTCCTCACACTCAGTACCGCTGTGCAAACCAGCTGCGCGTTTCAAGCCCGCCTTTCAGAGTCTGTCTGAAGTATAAATGTCTTACTTTGCAACAAATATAACATGATGTCATTTCAACAACGGTTTGTCTACTATACACATTTCTTTAGGAAGGGGATTTTAGCATCTTTAGTGCTTTAATATGAGAATACGATCTGTAGGCAAATAAATGAGTACCTCTGAAAATATCTTGTCCCCCAAAGGAACAGACTCATAGAGAGAACAAACTTGTGGCCACCAGGTGGGAGGGGAGTTGGGGGCCTGGGTGGAAAAGGTGAAGGGACTGAGAAGTCCAAGTTGATATTTACAGAACAGTCACAGGGATGTACAGTACAGCACAAGGAGCATAGTCAGTAGTAGTGTAATAACTACGTGTGGTGCCAGGTGGGCTCTAGACTTACAGGGGGATCACTTCACAAATTATCTAACTGTCCAACAGCTCTGCTGTACACCCGAACTAATACAAAACACTGAATGTCAATGGTAATTGACAAATAAAAAAAAAGAAAATATTTCGTTCCCATAGGCACTTACAAGCATTTGCTGTACAATTCTGATATATTTCTGCATAAACCCTGTCTTCACAGATGGTGCAAAGAATTTATCCCACCTCTGTCAGAGAAATCACAGGCTCTGATCTGAATAAATTTTTATTCTTAGTGAATATCTAATTCTTAGCTTAAGTCTATCATTTTTTGAATATGCTGATATTTTCATCTCCAAAGAAAATGTGCTAAAATGTGCTAAAATGTGAGACTATGGGCAAGTGCTGGGAAAAGCGTAGCTCAGACTAAAAAGGTTCTGTTTTGACATCTGCAGATAAAAGGTGTCTCCGTACCTGAATCACATGCTCATCGCTTGTTATTTCTATGGCTTCGTGGCAGTGGTCTAATGCTGTAAACACTGAATTACAGGCCCTGGAAGTTGCAAAAGATCGATGTTAGTTCTGCTACAAAACCATTAGCATTTCATCTGTTAATTTATCAAAGTAAACAGTTCCTCAGATTCATTAAAGCTATGTACCTTCCGATATTGCCTTGAGGAAAATAAAACCTAGGCTTTCAAACTAGATGAACAAACAAAAGCATATATTTCTATGTATATGATACAAAAAGAAGAATTATAACCACAAAATCTTCATGGACCATGAAATGAACTACACACACGCTGAATGAGACCTTCCTACTGAGACCAGGGAATGAAGGTTTGGGGGACTGTCTGTGGGTCCCCCGTGTTCTACACCAGTGACGTCCTTCCTGACTGTGCTGTGCATGAAACAGAAGTCAAGTTCCCATCAGTGAAGAAAACCTGCTTAAGCCCAGGTTGGATCTGAGGTAGTCCAGCCTTTTGTAACAGACACAAACATTTCATCTCCTTTCCCTCCTGACCTCGAACAAGCCTGTGCATCACAGCTGCTGGCGTGAGGAGAGGCAGACACATCGGAGATCCCCCCACCTGGGTAACTACACAGCTCTGCAGGTGGGCAGGCTTCTTGCTGACCTTGGTTACGTATCTGGAACATCTGAAATCATCTCGCTCCCTCAATTTCTTGGAAAGAATTTTAACTATCTTTCAAACCCAGACCAACTCCAAATACAGTAAGTTATGTATTGTGGAACAGCAAGTATGTAACTAGTTCTTAAAGCTTTGTTTTTTGTACTGGCTGTTTAAAGAATACCAGTGAAGGCTTTCCTACCCATTACAAAAAAGATGTTGATTTACTGGATCGATGTTTCATGAAACAAACTATTAAAGTGTTATTTACTTTTCCCCCACTCATAATGGCACGTAACTTTGCCATCCTGTTCGAACTGCTTACAAGGCACAGGGCAGAAGGAACCGGGGGGACCTGGTTCCGTGTTCTGCCAGTTATGGGACCTTGGACAACGTTGTGTTTCCACTGGCCTTCAATTGCCTCTTCTACAAAATGAGGAGATTAACACGTATTTTACAGGAGGTGGTAAGAATCAAAACGAGTTACATGAGGCATCTCTCAAAGCACTCAGGACAATACAAGAATTCAGCACATGGCGCTCGTTATTTGTAAGATCCCAGAGTACTATTTCTTCGTTCTCTAAGGCTTTCAAAGGCTGCTGGTGAAAAGTGAATCACAACCTGTCTTTTCTCATGATTATACTTGAAATACCAAACCAAGGACCGAAGTAACAAACCAGTAGCAAGTAACAAGGTAACCCATATGGGGAGTGAAGGATTTTAGCCCAAAGAAAGATGAAAGACAGTGTTCCTGCAGTTGTAGAGATCAAGGTATTAAAACCAATGTGGAAGGGTGAGTAAAATAAGGAATTATGATGTGGGTGTGCAGAGGAGACTACAAACCTAACTCAGCCGAGACCCCAGATGGGCACAGTAAGATTTCTTTTTTAACTTGCTACAGGTTACCTAATTTGGGCTGTGTACTGTCCTAGTAGCATCTCTGTACTTGTAAGTATGATGATTTAAAGTAGGAGAAAAAGGAGACAAGAGGACTTTAAAATTGTTACCAAAGCTGCCACTGCACTGCCACCCAGGAAGAAGCAAACAAGATCTGGTCTCACGGTCATGGGAGCATTTCCCAGCGCCTGGGGCGCTGCCCCACGTGGGTCCCGCAGGGGAGCGCCGCCTGCTCCCCAGAGCTGGCCGTCTGGGGCACACGCTCTGCGGGCTGCTTCCTCACCTCTGGAAGCTGCCAAACTAAGCTCTCAAACACTTTAAGTGGCAAATTCCTCTAATATATATTAAATGATAAATTTCTCTTTTGTCCAGGTATCTTTTATAAGTACCCATGTGTCTCATCTAAGTCCGTAAACAGGTACTTCAGAGTACTATTGTTTTTGTGAACTTAAGAGGCTACTTTTTAAAAGATCTTAGCTCCAATCTCCAAAGTTTATCTACTAAATGGTCATTGTATGATTATTTACAAAATATAAAGTCATCAGTAAGTATGATGCCCAATGGGACAAAGCAAATACTTATCAACAGGCGAGGTGAGGGGACCTGGGTGGGGCCAGAGGTCACTTTCCCCAGGGGAAACCTCTCCTCACCCGCAGCCTGTGGATCGAGGCTTCAGGCCAGTTTGGCTGATGGTTCTATAACCAGTGGCAAAACGAGGCAATCACCCTGAATCATTGTTCCTAGAGTTTGGGAATTTAATTGCTTATATCAATTATTAATACTCTTCACTCGGAAAAGTCCTTGTTTTATTTATTTTCTGTTTCTTGGGGACCTTGTAACTCTGTGCCTCAAATGTATTTTTGTATCTTTTAGGTTAAGAAGTTGGAAAATCGGAAAGAGCAGCACAAGCAAAAGCAACCCTGGCGGGGACACCCCTGAAGTGCAGGTGATGTAACCATTTTCCCCTCCCCTTCTTAAGGGCCCGTGAAGGTCCAGAGGGAAGGCAAGTGTTGCGGAGGCCCGGGTCTGAAGTCCGTAAAGGACACAGCGGTATGTGGCAGGGTGCAGAGGGCTGCAGACGGCAGAGTGGGACACGGATCCCACCCCGGAGCCGCTGCCAGCACACTGGGTAGCTGTGATTGGTGGTGTCGGGTCTCCCTGGGTCTCAGTGTTCTCCTCTGTCGGCTGTGGCCGAGGTGGCGGGTCGCACATAATCTCTTGTGTCCCTACCAAAGGGGCTCTAGTCTCCTCAGACAAAACACGCACACACACAAACAGAGGCCACCTGGAACAAGGACAGGACTGCGCAAGGTGGCAGCCTGTAGAGAGAAGACTCTGAACACAGATCCACATCCCCGCAGGGGACTGGGAGGGACAGGGAGGGAAGAGTGGAGGCAGCGCGGGGTCACGGACTCGCTACTGGTCAGCACCTTCCCGGGCAGTGATGCAGTCGGGCCGGCCACTCTGAGCCTCCACAGGTGGGTTTCTCCTGTGACACAATGGCTGTCACCCAGAGCCCAGGTGTCGGTTGGCACTCTATACACGTCTGTTAATACTAAGCTTCAGAGTTCCACAGAATACAAAGTTTTACCCATTGTTTAGAAACTGATTGTTTCTAAAATTGGGGCCTGCTACCTTCTTAAGACTTGGAGAAAAATAAGCATGATGCTTTGGGTGTACTCCAGGATAACAGACATCAGACTAACGATGACGCATGGCTGCCACTGCATTAGTTTAAACTGATCAGCTTCAACTCCCAGTAAGTAGAGAAATCCTACCTGTATTTTGGATAACAAAGTTCTTTTCATATAAAGAGGCACAGAGTCAGAGGTAATGGTCATCTCTTGTCCCTATTTCCCTAGCCAGTCCCCATTTCATGAATTCTTTTGCCCCATGAAGTGATTCATCAAATGCACTCAGAAGTAAGATTTGGCTCTCCTGTTTTAAAAAAGTTATTCTATAAAACAGAATTTTAAAACTAGATAGTTTTTGTTTGATCCCATGATCAAACAAAATGATTGTCCCCCGCCTTGGTTCAGTAAGTATGGCCAGCACACATGAAGTCCTGGACAGAAGTATCTGCCTTCAGCATCCAACACCATCCTTGCAGTACAGGCTGTCCCTGCAGAATGCCAGCAATGTCACATATTTAGCTGCAGCTGGGGGCGGAATTGCAGGGGAAAGTATTATATAATTAGACTATAATTATTCTGGCATTGTATAATAAAGAGCCTCATTTTCCCAGTCTGCAGCAAGTGACGGAGCTGCCTGCCTGCCTCTGGGAGGCAGGTAGAGGCTTTCAAGGTCCTTGGATGCCCTAAGGACCTGGGGAAGGTCATGGTTTGGGGTCACCGTGCCCCCACCCACTGGACCCAGATCTAGTATACCCAGGGAGAGTCAAACCACGCACACACCCCCACTCCTCCGAAAAGGGAAAGAGGTTGGAGACAGTGGAGGCACAACCAGCCAAAAAGCAGCAGAAGAAACCGACCACTTTTTCCTCCTCTGGCTTCCTCTTCTGGAGAACACTACCACCCCCAACCTCACCCCACCCCCTCAATCCCACCCCACACAGGCGCAGCTCTCGGACTGGTTGTTCATGGTTGGGAAGAGATGTTCCTTACCCACCAAGCATCAGCAGGTGTGGGAGATAAGAGATTAGTGCGCTGGGCAGACCCACCTTCCTGGGGCCACTGCCTGCCTGGGTCAAGTCTGTTCACCAGTGTCACACTGATTTATATTAAGAACTTGACCTTTTTCATTATGACCAACTGCCTCAGCCAGCTCCAGTCAGTGAGGAGTGAGAAGTTATGAGATTTACATAGTGTTAAGTACTTAGAAATTTGCTAAGTTCCTAATTTGATGAGACCTTGAAAAGTTTTCAGTGCCCCGACTCCAAGCAGATTTCATGAGCGCAATAGCCAGAAGTCCTTTCTTCACGTCCTTGTGCTGGCTGGGGATGTCTCGTCCCAATTGCCAGTCCTGTCTTTGCCCGCTCACCATCCACACCTGACATGTGGACACAGCACCTTCTGACACCTTACATGTGCCATCAACGTAATGTTGCTTATGAAATCTCAAACAATTATTTAAAATAAAATGAGGAAATTACCTACTAAAGCAATAAGGTATCTGTTCATTTTTGTTGTAGATAATACACAATAAAAGATTTAAATAAAAACAAAGTCCCTCTTTTTCTAATTCTATTCATTGTGGAAACATCTAAAAAAACAGGTACAGTCTTTTTACCCTCAGGTAAAAATAGTAAAGAGCCCCAGGAATAAAGACAATGAATGTGTAATAGTAAAAATAATAAATTTCTGAAGTAAAGGCACTGTGATTTTCTTTAAAAATTCTATGAATTTCTCCAAAGCTAACAAATATGTGGCTACAAAGAAACCAAGGGACCTAATTATGCATGTAGATATTCCAAAGTTTTTGGCAATATTACTCACCAAAAACTGTTAAAATACCTAAATTTCCATTGTTGTTTGAGATTTTTTAAAATACTCTCCCACCTAAGAAAGTCACTGTTTATCCACACACTTTGTTTCTTAAAGCTCTCTATCCACCAAAAGGCACCCTCCTTGGCCATGGTGCACCCCAGAAGAATGGCCTTTGTGGATTTATGCTAATCCATTTTACTTCCACAGGACTGAGAATGGAAGAGAAAAAATAATTTTAAAAAAGGGTTTAGTTACCTTTGAGTGCAAATGAAGAGCTAAAATAAGAAGTATAATCATTACAGGGAGATGCTATCAGATTTTTTTTTTCTGAGCCTGATACTATCCTGACCTGTAGTTGGCCCGAGAGAGGGAAGCCAGGCCAGGGGCCTTCTGGCATCCCACAGCCCAGAGCTGCTGGGCTCTGGCCTCCCAGGGGCCACAAGTTGGGCAGGGCCCCCTCTGTCCCTTCCTCTTTCTCTGCTTGAGGGGGGCAAGTTGAGAGAGTCAGGGTCCTGGGAGAGTACTGGAGTGGAGCCTGAGCCAAACCAGGTGTGACCCTGGACTTCAACAACCCAAGATATCCCAGAAGTAAAACGCCTACCACCCAGAGCTCCGGCCACTCAGGTGAACCCAACCCAGAAGCGAGTACCAGGGAGCAGCCTGCTCTTAAAGCACTCTGCACCAGTTCAAAGACCTAAAATCGGATTCCTGAAGATACTTCCCACACAGGGGGCCACAGACAGCCTTCGTGAAACTGGTGTTGTAGTTGCTCAGCAATTATTACAGTTAGCATACTAAATATACCCCCAGGTCTGCTCCTGTCCATAACAACCCACAGAGGATTTGCAAATGTTGAAAGCAGCAAGTAATCCTCAAAGGCTATTCTTAATCTTGATCTAATTTTACAAAAATTAAACAGTACTTTGCTCGGGATATAATTTTAAAACTGCTGTAAATAGTGGAAAATACTGTCAAATAAGAAATGCTTCTAATTTATTTCATTATAACAAAGGGCTTCCCGTTTAGATTCTCCTGTTTACCAGACACCATTACTTGCTTAATGGCTCCAAAATCCCTGTGATGGAGCCAGGACCCTGCAAACAGCAGCCTGATGACAGACGAGCATTTTTGAGGAAATGGTAACCAGCCTTGTGCCCTGTCTTACTTAACTACATACCGTAATTTGAACTGTGAGCGAACTTCCCCGTGTTCTATTTGAATAAGTTCATTATAGCAAGCAGTGATGCTGCTATTCTCCACAAATCTCTGAAAAGAAAGCAAAGATAATACATAAGACATATAAATTACTTCTTGGAGAGTTAAATAAAGAAACTGAACAGTTTTTCCTACTCCAGTAACTCTGTTACATAAGACAACTAGTAGATAAGGTGGAATGACACAGCTGTCAAGGTGTCTGAAATGCTTGTTTAAATGCATGAGAAACAACAGAGCAGGTAATATTGTATGCTTAACTCCCTGTGTAACAAAGGTGGGAAAACTGCAGTTAGTTACCGAAATGCCTGTGCTTTATCTCGCACTAATGAAAGTCTTCTCAGACCCAGCACCACACACATCGGGTGTGTGCCACACTGGGAAGGACCCCTCTGGAGGGGAGGGGCTGTTCTCTGCTTCCTGCCTCATCTCCTGAGTGTCTACTGCGCTCTCTTCCCCGTGTCCATCCGTCACACACGCACACACACACTGCCACTATCCAGTGGGGATGGCTTCCCAGTGGGGAGCACCTTTGGAGCCGCGACTTCCCTGTGCCCCTGGGCCCCACGACTGCAGGTGGAAGCTGGGAAGGGCAAGGGAAAGAGGGGACGTCATGAACGTGCACAGAGAGGAAGTACCGTTTCTTCTTTTGGGTGAAGTTAAACATGGTTGGGTTCAGGATGAGCTCCTGGATGGGTGGAGATTCTACATCAGCCTATGAACATTGTTAGCTGATGTTTCATAATATACGAAAAGCAATCTGTGATAAAGTAAGTTTTGGAAATGTTGGAGTAAACAGATTTAGGCTGGTTTATTTTAAGACAGAAGCTTTAAAAGTAAACTTTGGTGTCTATGTCTAATGAGAAAAGTAATATACATTAATTTTAAATTGTATAACATACAGAAAAATATAAAGAGAAACCCCCAAACCACTGATAATGTCATAAGCTACAGATGTCATTAATTTTGGAAATAGTTTTTTATAAAGATTTTATTTATTTACTTTTAGAGAGGAGGGAAGGGAGGGAGACAGAGAGGGAGAGAAACATCAATGTGCAAGAGATACATCAATCAGTTGCCTCTCGAACACTCCCTACAGGGGACCTGGCCCACAACCCAGGCATGTGCCCTGACTGGGAATCAGACCTTTCAGTTTGCAGGCCAGCATTCAATCCACAGAGCCATACCAGCCACAGCTAAGAAATAGTTTTTTATATTTTACTTTTCTTGAAGTTTAAGAACTTCCATTTAGTGAAAAACAGCTTTCTGTAGGTGCTGTTTTCTAAACACCGGAGGATTTTGTACAAATTGGTACTTAATATGTGTACCAAGTAAGGTAAGGGAGGATTCCAGTGCCTTATCTTTGGGGGATTTTTCAAGACTGTAGTTAAAAACCCCTACCTCTGAAATGATTTGGGCAAATCAAAAGCAGTGGTCTTCAAACCTCAACATGCTGAGACCTGGGCCTTTGGCTAAAAATTCAGATTCCAGGGCCCTGGTTGCAGAAGCTGAGGCAGATGTCCTTCGTACAGGACTTCTCAGGTCATTCGACGCGCTCATGTGCCACGCTGCTAACGTGCACTGCGCATTCCCAGGGGCGGAGGAGAAAGAGTCTTCACTGGTTTCCTAAGCTTATTTGACCACAGAAGTCTTTTACAAAGGAACACCTGTTAAGAGCTGTTGGAACACTAAAGTTCCACAGTTTGAGAAATACTATCTCAGTGGGCCCCGTGTGGGGGTTGCGCTCTGACTTTGCTGTGAGTGTGAGCTCTGGCAAGCTGTTCAGTCATTTTGGGCCTGTTTCCTCCTCTATGAAAATGGAGAAACTATTCAGTCTCTCATCTGTCGATGAGGATGCACTAAGTAACCTAGAGTGGAGCCAAACAAACCCATTTTGGCTCTCCATTTCTTCCTTAGGAAGCCTCTCCAGGGGGAAAACTGACCGGCACGCCTAGTACATTGCGTGGCACATGGTAAGTGGTCCATGAACACTCAGTCAACTGAATGAGCATCATTCCAGATAAAAAGAGAGGGGCACAAACATTGATATAAAAACGCAGTTTGGCGATTGCCCTTTGCTAAGATACAGGTTTCTGAAAGGCTCAGAGTAGACTGAGCATCATGCAGTTGGCCACTTACACAGAGCTACCGAGGCTTCAAGTGGAGTTGTTGTGGAATATTTCATGGCACAATTTGTTCCTGGATCCCCACTTAGGGACCCATCGTCTGAAGTGCTGGCCAATTAGCTAGCAACACAGGGCAGAGTTTCAGCAGATGCTTTAATACAATCAAAACAACTCAGAGATGGGAAACAACTGCACGGAAGGCAGAATTGCTGGCATACTTGGAAGAGTGCTTGGCTAGAGAGTTGCCAAAGACAAGATTTTGCCCAAAAAAGGAGACCAGCCACCTGAAGAGCAACTTCGGCTGATCTTATGGCACAGTAACTCAGAAGGGAGAGCCTTTGTGGGTGCTGTGTGCATCCTCGGGAAGAGCACAGACTACCTGGGGGCACCCTGACCTCGCTGGCAGAGGCCTTGAGCAGACCCGGCACTAAAGAACACCAGGTGTCCGTGGCAGGCCTCATACTTCATGCTCCCACCAGGGGCTTTATTCTCCGTGCTGACTGCAGAAAGTAGCACCATATCCAAACAGAAGGCAATGAAACCTTCTAGAACAGCAGACACAAGTTACAAAACATGGAAAAAGGAACGATGGAACTTTTCCCTCCTAAATTTCCTTAATTGCATTTTCAGCCCACAAAGGACAGTTGCTTCCCTGAACTTTTCTGTGAGTAGACGTACAATCCCAGGGTCACTCCTCTACACCAGTCAGTGGCAGGACACTGGACTGAAAGCTGACTTCTGGAAGGACGCTTGCCAGCACACACAGGGGTCCCCATGGATATCACCACAGTGTGTCACTGCTGTTCTCAGCAGTGGGGCCCCAGGAGGGGGAGAACCTACGACCTCGCACTCCGAGAGGCCCTGCCTCGGACATCAAGGATGATGTCGGGCTGGGTTGCAGTGGGGTGGTCAGCATCAAACAGAAGAGCTACGAAACCTGTGGGTAACCTCAGGTTACTTTTTAGAAAAGGATCATTGTAAGGAGAGAAGTCTCAGGCCTCTCTACCAGTTTCCCTTTTTCCATTCCAGAACTCAGAAGCATTGTTCTATGCATTCCCGTCAAGACACAACACGGAAGAACAGCTTTCGGAACCAAATGCCAGCCTCCGAGAGACACCATGACGGATAAGAGGAGAGTCAGGGGAGTGATGCCGCTCACTAGGAACGTTCATTCCCAGGACACATGTGAACCACGGAACTGCCTGGACACATGACAGAGCACGGCTACTTCCACACGGGAGCAGAAAACAACCCAAGCACAGCGCTGCTGCTCACAGCAATTCCTGCTCTTCTGTGGTCTACAACAAAGATAGGGTTTTTCTTAAACCAGGGACTGCAATGCACTGTTACTTAAAGCACCCAAAAGAATCTTCATACGTCACAAGGCAAAAGCAATATCCTATTTTTGAAGGAACAGAATGCATAACACCATCTATTTGAGGTTCAGATTATTCCTACCAAAAGACCTGAGATACCAAACCTGCCTAGTTATTTAGTTTGTTGGTAAGTCTCCTTGGAGTAATCCATCTTCGTTTTCCAGTTGCACAGCAGTCTAATTCGTGCCGTTGCTCTGAGAATCTATGACTGAAGCCAGGAGTTTCACAGGACGCCTGCTGCACACGAACCAGCCCCGGGAGCCGACTCAGCGGACGTGTGCAACCACACGCACACCCTGATTCTCACTGACCGGACTGATTCAAGTGAGATAACTCTGGGGCACAGAATTTCGACCCGATATAATAAGATGTGCTTTATGTCATCACGAAGTTATAAGAAAAAAGGAAAAGAAGCTTAACTAGCTAGCAGGTGCTCATTACCACCCAAGAACAGTTCTTTCCTTCATAATCCGAGGCTCAAGGCCCTCAGCGCTTCTCCACGGACACTGGCCTCCGCTGCTGTGGGAGAGTCAGGGATGAGCTGCCGGCCCCTGAGGGAGGGGCTGGCCCATCGTCTACGTACCCTGTTGAAGCCTGCATGAAGAAGAGGGAGGACTGAGGCCTCTTCGTGGTCGCCCGATCTGCAGCAAAGCAGAAAATGTGGTCACTCAGCAGATACAAACCAGGATTCCTCACACTGAAACATGGAGAGAGAGCAATGAGGCGACCGTGGCGCTGGTCCCCCGAGTGGCTTCCTGACAAGCATGTGCCCACAGGGTACACCTGCCCTCAAGGACCCAGACCCCCACATCTGACTCCCAGATGCAAAAAAGGACCAAAACAGTGAAGAGAAAACTAGCAGTGTGCCTGAAGGCCTGTCAACGGCTCTCTCCAGCCTGGGGCTGCCTGCTGGAGTTGGGGCAAGTGTAGGGGAGCAGTCCCATAGAGGGACAAGGTAGGTGCAGCACTCATCCCAGAGATTGCAGTCTTCTGTGCCATCCCCAAACCTTCTGAAAGCACAACTCCCACTGCCCCCCACCCCCGCCACCAAGACCTGGCAGGGTCCACCTTTCAACGTGAGGAAGACAACAGCCATGATAAGTTGCCTCAGCCAATAGCCAAATGAGAAAGACTTGTCGTCACCAATGCCAAGTTAGAAAGGAAGAGGGGAAAACAAAAATTGACCATTATCACTCATTTCATGGGAAGGTTTCCTGTACTGAGCCTACAGCTGGGTCTCAGAACTCAGTGTGAGAACTCAGTGCAGGGGGGGCGGGGGGGGGCACGGGGGGGGCGGTGTGGGTTGGCTTGTCATGAAGACAGGCTGGGCTGTCACTATTGTGAGAGAGCAAAGACTCCCTGAGACATGCTACACATACCTTGGAAAACAGGGAAGAAAAATGGAACAGAGGGGATTGCATGGAGGAGCAGATGGAAAACAAGAAGAGAAATCCCAGTGTTTATTTGTGGCATTTCTTGTCCAGGGAAAAGCTGCCTTCCCTAACTCCCCTTCTCCTCGGGACTCAAGGTTCCACCTTTGCTAGCTGATAAATCAGGATGGGCACAAAATGGCTTCTCAAGGTATTAATAATGTTCTATTTATTATTAATGTTTATTTCATAAGCTGGGTGGCACAAACTCAGTATCCATTTTTATCATTACTCTCTCCATCTATGAAACCTTTTATTAAACCATAGGGGAAAAAGGTGAAAAATAACAATAAGCCACAGCAAACCATAACTCGTCAAGGACAAACACACACTTTTGCTGTATGAGTAGGAAATTAAAAGAGTGCCTTGTTCTTGGGCCTGTGGAATCAGCCAGGCTTTGGGGGTGTGCCGTGTGGCCTGGTGCGCTTCTGGTGTCCACGCCCAGGGTCCCTGAGTCCCCAGAAGGTAAAACATCAGCCGGAAGAAGGATGACTGCCCATCTCAGCTTCCCTCACTCAATCCCCTGAGGTGCCACCTCCTACCAGGAAGGAACTAATGGGGACAGTTTCTTCATTTTCCTTGCCCCATAGCCCATGGCAGGTATCAAAATGGACTCCTAATGTGAGACTCGAGGCGTATCAGGTAAGGAGAAGTCTTTGGTCAGGCCCAAACTTTGGGGCCAGCATTCCCCACTGCACCAACATGCTCTGCAGTGGAGAATTTCAAGTCTCCCCTGGCTCCGGCTACTTGGGGTGGAACCTAAGCTCTCCTGAGTGACTGGCCCGTCAGCTCCTGCCTTGCAGAATCTGTGCTATTTGCCACAATGGGTCCAAGTTCAGTGGATCCTAGGCCCGCCTTTTAGATCTTACTCTCTCCAAAGCAAATGATGGCTGTTAAGTGATTGGAACCCATTTGATACTTGCAAAGATCCCCTCCACTGTGGTTTGTACAAACAACCTTTTTCCTTTTAGATCTTCCATTCTAAGTGTCCGCCATTTCAGACACTAACCCTGGCAGACTAGTTTCTTACCCCACAATCTCAAGCCCACAGCTTAATCCCTCTTTCCTGCCTTCCAGCACTGGCACGCAACCTAGTCCTGCCTCTAGCCATATAACTGTCCCCAAATGTAAACTGCACATCCCTCTTCTTACAGTGGATTTACAAATGTGCCTTCTTGTTCTCATGCTACCATTTGTTTCTTCTTGAGCAAGCCTTCTCCCAGCTCTTCCCCCACCCCTGTCTCTTTCCTTTAAAGAAAAAAGATAAGCTAGAATCACGTCCTCTCCAGATCTCCTCCTCCGCAGACTTTCTATTCATGTCTAGCATATAATGAAGTACCCACTTTCTCCTGAGATGTATGAATATGTGGTAACAGCAGTGAGATGTGACAGAGAGAAAACTTACAAAACAAAGAAAACCCCCCAAAGCATGATCTCAAGTTGGTGCTGCAGGGCCGAGGACATGCCCATTGCTTTGCCAGCTCCAAAACTGGATTACATCAGACAAATGTCTCAGAAAGGACAGCACTATTTCCAGTAGGGGTGGGAGGTGCGCTTACGCTTGTGAAACCACCGCGAGGATCACCGTGTGCTCCGAGGGGTTTGTGGCCCGGATCGACCTGCAACAAGAAGGTGCCAAGTCAAACCAGGTGACCTGGGCTTTGCTACATTAAACCAATGCGAAACGGCTTCCCACTGAAGACCAATGGCACAAAAGCAAATCTTCCTCTAAAGAACAAGTCTGGTGTATGGCACCACGAATGCTGTACACCTGGAACTAACGTACGATGGGATGTTAACTGTAATTGAAAAACATGACACAATTGTAACCAGTGTACCGCGTGAATGAAAGATGCTCACAATGAGGGGAACTGGAAGGCAGGGGTGCATGGGAACGGTGGGAACTCTCTGTACTGTCTGCACATTTTTCTGTAAACCCAAAACTTCTCTAATAAACAAAGTCTATTAAACTAAAAAATAAAACAAAACAGGATAAGTCTGGAAACACATAGAAGACAACAAAGAAAGATGCCCTTGTGGATTAGGACAATCTCTTTGTGTTATTTAAAAAAAGGATTTTTTTAAACTCCCAGGCAATTAATTATCCAGTAGGTCAGATCTGCCAATTTTCCACTTCAAAAATCAGCAAATCCCACTTAAATTCCATGTTTTCTGATTGAAATTCCACCCTGCAAAACAATTGGCAGTCCTACAATTCTCTAGTTATCAGTTTGTACTTGGGGAGGTAATTGGGTTGGATCTTTTTTCTTTTAAAATAGTAGATAGTCCAGAAAGCTGACCGACCTTATAATAAAGACGGAAAGCTTTCCCCGCTAGCTGGATACACACATGCGGGTTACCATGTATTAAATGGTGCATAGAGCCCCCCTAGCTTTCCAGTGGTCCTGCTGTTCGCCCTCAAATACTGTAAACAACTGGGTCACCAACTGGGGCTGAGAAATGTTGCAATATGGCAACTGTCATCACTGCGACCACCTGTTCATAGTTAGTTTATTCCCTAGGAATTTAACAGGATCATAACACATAGGGATGAAGAATGTGGAGGTCGATGAGTCTCCTTAGAAAATGTGCTTTGACTGCTACAGCTCAGACTCTGCACTGTTCTGGTCAGGGGTCCTGAAATGGATGAATTCTAATAAAGTGCCACACACTCGAATCTTAGCACAAACGAGCCTGCTCACTCTGACCCCCTCCTGGGTCTGGCCTCTGCTTATGTTGAGATGCTTGGAAAGAGAACCACTGTCTTCAAGAGCAGAAGGCTCAGGGCTGCTCCCGAACAGTGTGTGAAGCAACAGATACTTGTTTTTCTCCCTAGCTGCTGGGACTTCAGACCCTTTCCTCTTGAACATGTTTGTTCTAGCGCTCCCCCAGGGACAGCCAGGTCGTATTGCTTTATCCTCTTCAACTGCAGAGTTTCCTGACCTTTCTCAAAAAGTGTACCTTCCCCATTTCCTATTCCTTGAGACCTCATTCTATGAGGGTGAAAGGATCGAGAACACGCCCCGTATTCCTGGGAAGTGAGGGTTTCCCTGGAGGATGGATGGCGGATGAATGACAAGGACCTTTGCAGACAAGGCTGTAACAAACTGCGAGGCGGGGGACTAGTCAGTAGCCCTCCGGCAGGAGCACCGTCTACTTTCCATGCAGCACACAGAACGGGGTTGGTAAGGTGACACTACACGCATTTTCTGCTTAGTAGCCTATTGAATTCTCAGCAGAGATACCAGTTGGCACCTAATGAAAAAGATGCACAGTGTTTCAGGGCTGGGCTCTTGTCTCTAAGGAAACACTGAGCACTCCTCATCTACATTCAGTCTCTTCCTCCTCAGGGAGGTGTCAAGAGTACACTTCTGGGCTATATTCAAAGGGGTGGGCCTTGGGCAAGCGGCTCAAACTCTGTTATGAATATAACTGGGCTGGAGCACACACTTGCTCAGATTCTTGGAGATGGCGTCTGTGTTTTGGGTAGCTACCTAATGCTTCCCTCTTCTCTCTCATTCCTCTGAAGGGACTCGTGGGGTCAGAGCCACCTGGACCGCTTCCTGGTTGAGAGGACTAAGGGGAAGCTGGGGACAGACAGGGAAGGGGTCTAAGCTATGATCCAGTCTAACTCAAAAGCCAGGGACCTTGGACCACAGAGGACAATAAAGAATGTGCATTTGCTGGGAGCACGTCCTGGCAGTCAGGCATTTGGGAATTGAGCCACGCTCAACGGCACCAGTAACAGTCAGGAAGCGCGCCAGCAGATGGGCACCTGGGGCAGAACCACACAGATCGCCCTCTGCTTCTCCGTGCCGCTCAGACAGAGGCCTGCTTATTAGGAATAGAACTCCACTTCTTCACATTCCCGTGAGATTGCAAAGGTTACCCGCTAAAGTGGGCCTGTGCCTGAATTAAAAGAACTCTTCCCATTAATTTCTTATTTTTACATCTGGAGCTTGTCTTAAATCATTCTATGTATGCACAAAGGACTGTGGTATTTCTACTACAAAATCACGTAATTAATGTCAGTCAAGACCAAGAAAAATTAGTTATAAAAAATCCAATTCTACTCTGAAAATCGTTTAAAAAGGAAAAATTATTTTAACTACTAAAAATATTCTCCAAATATTTTGATACATTTTATTTATTAATATGCACAATAAACAGGCAAATATTCCTATGCAGAAAGATCAAATTACTTGAGACCAGTTGACATTTTAAAATAGGTTCCTTAAGAGTTTGGAGAGTTCCGGCCAAGATGGAGGCATAGGTAGAACCCCTTCGCTTCCTTGCACAACTAAAAGGAGGATAACAACCATTCTAAAATCAATAAACAACCAAAAGTGCCAGAAAATCAAACTGCATGGAACTCTGACAACCAGGGAATTAAAGAAAAAATCAACCAGAACCACCAGATCGGTTAAGGTGAACCACAGAGGCGACTCAGAAAAACCGCAGGGAGGTGTCTGAGGGGCGAGGCTGACTGGCGAGTTTGGGGAGCTGCGAGGGAGGGACTGACTTAAGGGGAAAACTGAGACTCAGAGCTGACTGTGGCCTATGGCTGGGGCTGCTGCAGGTGGGAGACACTTCCAGTCTGACATGAGAGTATGTTGGAAAGTGCGCTAGAGAGACTCTCAGGCGAGCTGCATCATTCCCTCTCTGGCCCCTCCCCCACAGGCAGCAGAGCAAAGAGGGGTGAATACCTAAGGCCCCGCCCCCTTACAATCTATTAGCTGTGCCAAGACAAAGAAATACGGCCCAAATGAAAGAACACAGCAAAACCTAAGAAAGAAAACTAAGTGATGAGACTGCCAACCTATCTGATGGAGAATTAAAAGCCCTGGTAATCAAAATGCTCACAGAACTGATTGAGCTTGGTCAAAAAATGAAAGATACTCAAAATGAAATAAAGCAAAATACTCAGGGAACTAACAGTGACAGGAAGGAAACCAGAATTCAAAGCAATGATTTGGAACAAAAGGAAGAAATAAACACCCAACTGGATCAGAATAAAGAAACATGAATCCAAAAAAATGAAGAGAGGCTGAGGAACCTCTGGGATAACCTGAAACGTTCCAATATCCGAATTATAGGGGTGCCAAAGCAAGAACAACAGCAAGAAATTGAAAACTTATTTGAACAAATAATGAAGGAAAACTTCCCCAATCTGGCAAAGGAAAGAGACTTCCAGGAAGTCTAGGAAGCCCAGAGAGTCCCAAAGAAGCTGAACCCAAAGAGGAACACACCAAGACATATCATCATTAAGTTACCCAAGATTAAAGACAAAGAGAAAATCCTAAAAGCAGCAAGAGAAAAGGAGATAGTTACCTACAAAGGAGTTCCCACAAGGCTATCAGCTGGTTTCTCAAAAGAAACCTTACAGGCAAGAAGGGGCTGGAAAGAAATAGTTGAAGTTGTGAAAGGCAAGGACCTACACCCAAGATGACTCCATCCAGCAAAGTTCTCATTTAGAATGGAAGTGCAGATAAAGTGCTTCCAGATAAGGTCAAGTTAAAGGAGTTCATCAACACCAAGCCCTTATTATATGAATGTTAAAGAGACTTATCTAAGAAAAAGAAGATAAAACATATAAACAGTGAAATGAACAACAGACTTACAATTATTAACCAATGAAACTAAAAGAAAAGAAAAACAATGAAAACAAAAACTAAGCAAACAACCAGAACAGGAAGAGAATCAGAGAAATGGACATAACACAGAGAGAGCTCAGTGGGGAGGGGGAAGGGACGGACGGGGGGGGGGGGGGGGGCGGGGGGCAGGGGGGAGGTACAGGGAAGAAGAAGCATGGTTAGTAGGTATAAAATGGATGGGAGAGGTAAAAATGGTATAGGAGAGAGGACTCAAAGAACTTATATGTATAACCCATGGACATGAACTAAGGGAGGAAAATGCTGGAGGGTTGAGGCAACAAGGTGGAAGGGGGATAAAGAGGAAAAAATTAGGAAAACTGTAATAGCACAATCAATAAAAAATACTAAATAAACAAACAAACAAATAAATAAAATGGGCTCCTAAAGAAAAAGTCTTCTCTGGTAAACTGAAAACTGCCCAAGAACAGCACAGTGACACCTGTGCGAGGAAACTCCTCTCAGGCCCCTTGTCTCCTGTCAGGGCACCCAGGTGCTCAGAAGCCACGCCCCTACCTTTCATTTCATTTAATACTTTCAAGAAAACTCCAGCTCCATATGTAATTGAAGTCTGGCCTAGTCTCGAATTTAATTAGTGACTTCTTCCTGTCTAGCTTCAAAGCATTCCACTTCTGCTAAATGGATCAGTTCACCCAGAGCTAACTCTTAGGACTGCACTTATTTACAGACTGGCATGTGTTTCCTCCCCAGAGCACAAGGTTTCTGGAAACAAGTCAGGGCAGGGGTAGAGGGGCGGGCTCGGATCCCTGGATGATTTTCTGCTGCTGCAAAGTGGCTGCCTAGCTCCCTGACGGCTGTAGGATCCATCCATCTGAGTCAGGCAGGGAAAAAAATGTATATTTCACACATTTCTGATGCTCATTTTGGGACGGAATAATTAACATTAAAGTATCTGGTTTGCATCCAAACCATAGCTGTATAATAAGAACTGTATGAATTTTAATGCTTTTTTGTGAAATATGAGCAATACTCAGGGGGAAGACAATCCTAAAGTTTTCAGTGGTGCCTGCTCACACCTCTAAATTCATCAGAACTCAAATGTGGAAAAATAGAAAAGGTGAGATAAATTTATAGGAGCTAGAGCTTTCATCACAGAAATCTGAATATACTGCTTAAGAACACCAACTCATATTTTAGAAACATTTGGGATGGAACTAAAGACATCGACCAATGATTTTCATTCTAGGCTGTTAAAGGGCTGTTATTAAGCACATTAAATTAAGGAAGGCACCTGCACACAGCTTCTGCATCAAAGTTTCGACTTTGTCTGTGATCAATGACGATAATTTCATGATGTTTATCTAGAAAGCACTCCAGGGCTGACTCCGGAGTCCGGGCGATGTTGCACCGGAAGCCGGCTCTGTCGCAGGCCCACCAGAACCCGTCGCTCTGACTGTCCTCTTTGGCAAAGATCAGCAGAACCTGGAACACACAGAAAACAGCATTTTGACAGAAAGCATTGCCCTTAGAGACTGTATTAAAAACAGGCCTCTGGTATACTGATTACAAATGCAGTCCCTGGAGGGAAGCTACCTGGGTTCAAATCACAGCTCCTCCAACTGGTTCCAGAGTGTCTTTGAACAGAGCATTTTTTTCCTCCCTCTGGCCTACCGTGTCTTCACTGCCAAGCAGGACAAGAGCAGTGCCACCCCTGTAACAGCCTAGTTGTGGGACTTGAATGAGCACACAATAGGTGCTCAATCCCTCTGGTGGAAGTGGCAATTTAAAAAAAATTCCTAAGTGACTTTGCTTTGAAACAGATTAAGCAGTGAAATTATAAACAGGATAATTAACACAGGTTAGATGAACGCTCACATATACACCCATTTGGACCCAGTGCAGGTGGCGTTTGCCTCACAGTAGTACCTGGAGGCCGCCTACCTCTGTGAACCTAGCACTCACATCCATGTAAAGACACAGGAAAGGAAGGGAACTCAAAACCACCTCAAAAACCAATTCTGACACTCAGCCCTTGCCGGAATCTGGAATGAATGGTCATGAAAGGTGAAGCTGCGGGGGCCAACCTGAGTGCAGCCCCAGCACTGGAAGGAAGGCAGCGGCACTTCACTCCTTGCTCCCCTCACCAGCCCTGGGCTCCAGGACCCAGATTCTCCGGCAGCTGGACAGCAGGAGACAGCCTCGCCTCCTGCTACATTAACAAGGGAGCTATGTGAATAAAGTCACCCGGACTTGTTCATTTATTTCTTTGTTTATGGTCTGTCTTCTCCACTAGAACAGAGCTTTGGGACAGCAAGGACCTGCCGGTCTCCTTCCCTGCAACACCCCCCAAGCCCAGCACTGGGCCAGCACTTACGACTAGCTGCTCAGGAAACAACTGAGGGATGAAAGGACAGCTACTCATAGGGGTTTCTGCAAAATGCAACAGGCATTTACTATTAATAGGAGTAAGACTACATCACAACAAGAGGTCCAATAAGAAACCCATAATAATCTCATGATATCGATAAAGCATTTCATATTTTTAACTATCGACTTCTGGCTTAAACAATTAGGAAGGAAGGATAGTTTCTCAACATAAAGAGATTTTAAGCCACTAGCCAATATCACTCTTCATGATGAAATACTAAACATGTTTCATTTAAAATCAGGAACAAAAAAAACCTGTCCAACTATTATATCTTAAAAATGCTTTGTTAATTGAAAATTGGCAACATATAAAAAATGGACACAATAGCATAAAAAACCTCATGTACCCATTACCCAGCTTCAGCAATAACCAACTCCTGGCCCATCTGGTTTCATCTCCATCCCTATCCACTCTCCCAACTCTTGTTTAACTTCTGCAAATCTTGAACATCATATCATTTCATCCACATGCATCTGCTAAAGATAAAGACTCTTCTCAAAAAGAAAAGGCAATGCCATTTCGTACCTAACCCTCTCCAGTAATTCCATAACATCATTAAATATCTGGCTGTATCATAAATGTCATTTGTTTTACTGTTGTCTCAAAGCTATGTTCCAGAAAAATCACCCTTTTCGGCACGATTGTACATTTTCTTCTTTAGTATGCGGCTTGAAATCACAAGCTAGTAACACATGAGGCAGCCACTTATTCAGAGCACTCTCTGGGCACAGGTCAGTGACTCCTCAGTCCAGGGTGTTCCTAAAAACTTCGGCCACGGAGCCACTTCTAGGAAGGAGTGGGAGGTGGGGCACGGCCTCATGGATTTTGCTAGTGAAGAGAAGCCCCACAGATGAAATCATTAGCAAGGGAGCTACATGAACAAAACCAGGTGGAAGAAACTGCTCTCTGCCTGCAGTCAATAGCCCTTTAATCACGCAGCTGTACTACTAACATGAGAAACCTGACATGCAGAGCCTAAGAATCAGAAAAGGTGATGAAACGTCTTGTCCTTCATCTCTCTGGCTGAACTGTGGATGGCTGGACAAGAAGCTCACCCCTTTCTGTTTCCTTCATACCACCATGGCTTAGGGGTTGACTAATGCAAGAACACAATGGTATTCTGTTGTTGGACGTCACTACAGGTATTCACCTTGCCTGTCTAATGTGTCCTTAAAAAACTAGACAGTTCCACCTTCAGAAAAATAATGTCATTTTCAAGAAATATTTCCTGAGTATCTACTCTGTGCCAGACACTGTTTTCAATTGCTTGGAGTATGCCGATGAGCAAATCGAAGACTCCTTGCTGTGCCATAGTGGAGGGACAAACCATAAATAACAGGTGCAATAAATCAACAGATGACGTGGAATGTTGAAAGTGGTAAGTGCCGAGTAAAAACTGTAGGGCAGGGTAAGGGGGTTGGAGTGGCTTGCTGGTAGCAGTATTAAGGAGGGTGGTTGGGGTAGGTTTCACTGAGAAAGTGACATACAAGCAAATGCTTGAAAGAAACAGAAAAGCAAGACAAGCTGTTATCTGAGGAAAAGCATTCCAAGCTGAGGGAACAGCTCCAGTGGCCTCTACAATGGGATACTCGCCTGCTGTGTTCAAGGAACTGCAAGGAAGCCAGTATGACGGAGGGGAGGGTGAGGGGTTGAGAAAGACTGAAGTTCTCACTGTAAGAACCGTCCATGATCACGGTAAGGCCTTATGTGTCATTTTAGAACCTTGAACTGGATTTCACATGGAAACTGGCAGAACTGATTGAAAGAGGGGCATTGCCTTTACCATGCCCTTATTTGCTGTATTTCTGATGCCTTCATGTCCAGAGCCTGACTGACCCTGAAGAGACAGCAAAGGACTTGGGAATGCACTTTTCATGTGCAAACCAACCCAGAGCCATAGCCTACCACTTCATTTATCAAGCTCCAACATTCAGGCCCACTGTCCACCTGCCCTATTGTTCTAGGGCAAGGTAACAGATAGCTAGCAACCACCCCTAAACCCCAGACTCCCTGAAATGACTGAGACGAGCCAAACCAGCTTACTCTGCCTCATCCATCTCTTCCCACAGAAACCACAATAAAGGCTCTTGCCCACATTTTCCCCTTGTTCTCTCTGCCTCCTGACCAACCCTGACTCTTCCCGCTGTGGTCCTGCTTGTTGTGGCACATCCCCCGCTCTTGGGAGCTGTGAGGGACAAACTTCTTTTCAATGACATCTGTTGATCTGTTGGCCTCATCCTACCTGAATGATAATAAAACCTACATTTTAAAACAGGAGTATTCATATTATAAAAGCACTCACTAGAGAGTTTCTTTGAGTAGAATTTAAAATTCTTTCCACATAAAATATTCAGAAAGATGACTTTTCAATAACTAAGCAAAATGAAAATCTTTTCTATGCCTTAGTGAATTATAAACTCCTAAGTCTGGATCAGCTTCCAACATTTTATCCTCTGTACTTCCAATGCCATAAAACATCCCCAGAGTTCCTTGAATGAGTGTGCAGGTTTTTCTGCTGGCATAGCTTCCTCTGCGGCAGTTCGCCCTTTCCATCACAACCATTCTCCTCGTTTATTTCCACAGACCTGAGCTGACTACTGTCCTCTGGTGACCTGTCTAGAATCTCTCTAGGGCAGCAGTTTCCACGTGCCCATGGTGGGCTATTTCTCCTCCAACCCCACTTAGAGTGGATTCAGATCTCACTCCTGCCACGACCATTTTTCATTTCCTTGCTGCACTTTCACATTTATTGGCCGGTTCCTTCTTTCAACGACCTGTTTTTGTGCAGTGTCCTGGGCATGGTCGTGGAGCGACATGGTGGCGACACTGCGCACTCCTGCCTGGGCTTGAGCCAAGGACCAACCAGGCAGAGGCCAATCACAGTAACGCCGGAAAGCGGGATGCGACTGGACCCTAACCACGCTGCACAACTGTTATTTACAGACTGCTTTGTGGGCTGAAGTGGCAGCAAAGTGCCTACTTTATATAATTACTCTTTGATAGCTAAACTAGAACGAAACTTTCCTCTGGTGAAGGCTAATTATGACAAATCACTTTGTGCATAAAACTAGCTTTCCCTTAACCTAAAGATGACAATGTAAATGTTCATTATTATTAGTGTTCTTTAAATAAGGGTATGCCCTACACATCTCCAAATGGATTACAAATATCAACTCTTAAACATCCAATTTTCAGAATATTGGGTTGGGCTTTAAGCAAAACTGGGTAACAAGGAGCTTCCAGAATCGACAGCATGTATAGATCGTGTAAGTTGTGTCTACATCGTACTAAAGGACTGGCCAATTTGATCAGAGAAGGGGTCAATTCAGTTGGCCAAAAATGGCTTAGAAGCCTCACCTGTCCCTAGGAAAGTGATGCGAATAACAGCTAAAGTGTGATGAGAATTTTCTGAGGGCTAGCCTTTCTATACTAGAAGTGCTTTAGATATCTTATGCAGTAACCCTTCATCACATTCTTTGGAAGTAGACATTACCTCCATTTTACAGATATGGAAACTGAGGCTGGAAATGGTTGAGAGACTTGCCCACAGCCACATAGCTAGCACGGTCTAAACGGAAGTCAGCCTGACCCCGGAGCTTGTGTAATCATTGTGTTAAGTAACTCCCTCTTTGACAGTTTTATTTTTACCCCCTAAGATACAGGACCAAAATTCCAACCCACTCTGTGGTTCCACCAAATCAGCTGCGTTAGGCAGAGGACACCACCTGGTGGCAGCATGAGGGCTGACCCGAGGGACACGCTGACCACGGTGAGTTGCTGAGTCTCCATCACTCAGCAGCCCCACTTACTATGTGAGGAACAGCCCCCCAGGAGGCCACCTGATCTCTAATACGTAAACTCTCTGATACATAACAGTTCCCGAAAAATCCATGTCCACACATGATGGAAAAATAAATGTTAAAGGGAAGTGCTGCCTTGGAGGAAACAGCGCAGGTCACAGCAGTGAGGCTCCGTTTCCCAGTCCAGGTGGAAAACCCACTGTGTGGGGAGCGGGGACGGCACTCGAAGCGGAGACACGGCAACTCTGCACACC